GGCACCGTTGGGTTATACGAATGCTTCAAGGCCTTCCTTCTACTAAACCAACTGCCTCCATTACCGAGATACAGGGCGCTCATATTATAAGGTAAGGTTATAAAAACCATCTTTTAAGATCATTTTAGTGAAAGTTTCATGCTTCAAGGCGTACCATTCACTGCTCAAATACTAAAAAACCTGCTTCCATTGAAGATATAAAGGGCGCTCATATTATAAGGTAAGGTTATAAAACCACCTTTTAAGATCATTTTAGTGAAAGTTTCATGTTCCTATCTCATAGAATTTAAGAACAATGATGAATAAATCATTTTCGAGCAAAATTTAAATGGCCGGCTGAATATATTACCGCAGGAGACGCAGCCGCGGAATTTAAATTACCGCGTCAAAGGGTTAGTCACTACTGGCAGGAAGTCTGAATGCTAAATATCCATTTTGGAATAGCGTAGTTTCCAACTCTTCAAGCATAAAACTACTGAATTTACTGCAAATAAATGACTGAAATTTCAGCACTACAACGTTGCACTCATTACTCTCCTCTGGGAAATGGTGACATGCTCGATATTGTTGCGTACAAGAATGTCTGACTGGCAGAAGACATTGTCTCTGACATTCTGGACTCAGGTAACCTATCAATTGTTTTCCACTTACTGGATCTTGTTAGAACTAGGAATCTTTCAGGCCCAGTTGAAATATTCACAAATGTGGAGCGGTTTCAAAGCCTGGCCTCAAAATTAATTTCACCTAAAACCCAAATTAACTCAGGAAGAAGCCAATAAAGCAGCCTGTAACTTTATTACTTCTATAACTTTGGTGCACAGCCTATCGACAAACAAAACTAAACTCTTGGACTTTAATAACAATCTACCTGGTCTGGAAAGACTGCTAGAACATAAGTGGAGGTAAAGGAAACTGGCAAGTAACCCATGATCCAGGATGTAAAATGACAGTAAAGTGGGTCACCAAAACCATCAAATGAATGACCTGTAGAAAGGCAATTGAACAATGAGAAACAAAAAGAGGGAACTGTGAGGTCACACCTAAAGCTCTGTGGCCTATTGTGAAATTGCTTATGGAAAGGGGTGGAGTGAAGGCACCAACCACTGTTCATGGACTTTTAGGAATAATATATCACCTGAAGAAGAAAGCCAGCATGATTGTGGATTGTTTAGAAAACCAGTTCACACCTCTTTAAATTTAAGCATACATACCAAAAGTGCCTGTGACATGACAAAACAGTTTTTCAGTCGTATCATCATATCGAGGTGGTGGATCAACAAGAGGAGGTGATAAGTTGCACAGAGCAGGAGCATAAACAGGCAGCCACTCAGGTTCTATAGCAGTGACACCTCTCATGTACAGTTTGGTGGTCTCAAAAACCTCTTGGTACACCACCCACTCTGGGCTCTTCTTCCGCAGTACTGATGCTGAGTGCATGAATACAGGCTCTTCCAGCTCAGCACATCTGTTAGATAATAAATTCAACCATAAAACTAATTCTCTGGTAACAGAAACTGAAAGAGTAAAACTGCAAATACTGAAGTCCATCAATGGACATAATCCTAATTCAGTTCAATCCAAGTGGAATCATCATAGCAAGATTCCCTCTTAGTTCATTAATCTTTATTTTATAAGGTATGAGAATGAAGAAAGTAGTCTTCTGGGATTTGGCACCGTGTATATGTGGCGTTAACCGACGTTTCGGAGGAACGTATCGCCTCCATCAGTCTGCTTTTACCGGTTCTCAAGGTCTCTTTGCTTGCAGATTCTTATATATTTTTTCTTCTACCCTGAAGATGGAGGCGATACGTTCCTCCGAAACGTCGGTTAACACCACATATACACGGTGCCAAATCCCAGAAGACTGCTTTCTTCATAGTCACCGCCGTGAAAGCCTCAAATCTTACAAGGTATGAGAAGCTTATGGTATTATAATGTCTATTTGTATGTCCTTGTATGGTGAATTTTGACAAAGTCTTATTCCTGCTAGCTTCATTATAAGACTTAAGCACTTGAAGGCAAGTAGGTATCATACATTCTTCCATGAACTTCTTGTTACACCATCCTATCACTGATCTTGTAAGAGGTTAGTTTCCAGGAAGTTTCATTAGCAAAGTTCTGCTGTAACATTAGATTTGAGGTTCTCATGTCAGTGACTTGAGTACAGTCTCCTGGAATGTTACAATATGTAGTCATGTAGAAGTTTACCTATGTTCTGGAGGAACATAATGACTCCATTTGCAGGGTCAAAAAGTAAGACAAGCAACAAGCAAGCAAAGTCACTGTGCTTGCTGCAGTCTACACAGTGTTACATCCCAGAATACAGTAATCTTCTGTTGTACTGTCTCCAATCCAAGTTACATGTCCTTGATTTTATTACGCCTGCCAAAAATAATGTTTTAGCTTATGGAACACACAACTCTTACTATCCTCTATTTCCAACATGCTATACTACCACTGCTGCTCCTGCTGCTGCTACCACCACCCACTTGCTACTACTACTACTACTACTACTGCTGCTACTACTACTACTACTACTACTACTAAACAACAACAAAAAAAGGAAGAATGAATAATTGAGCATCCCATTCTAAAGACACATCAGAGATAAACAGCACAATGAAATTTCCACAAAATCTAAAAAGTCTGAAATTCTGCTCACCTGTATGCATGTTTCCATTTCAATTTATCCTCATTTTCCTTTATTTCAGCTTCATCTACTTTATGTGCAACCTGATCAGGCATGCCTGCTAGCAAAATCTGTCGAAGTAATTTGGCCTGAGTGTCTGTTGGTGGAGCCATATTGGGGTCAACATATAGGTTAAGATCAGGCAAGTTTAAGTTGACCTCATTCGTTAACTGTAGTCGCAGTTTGCGGATCTCTGCAACTGCCTTGTGTCTTAACCCATTATCTGTGCAGAACTGTAACAGCTGACCACGTCTATTTGCAAACTCTGCTGCTCCTACTGCTCGTAAAAGCACCATTGGATCTCCTATAGCAAACATCAGAAGTTCCATATCAAGCACTGTTTGGGTCAGTCAAGTCTCACAGAATCAGAAATTCAGACACTTATCCATCAAGACATCCAAACAAATCTTTTCCTTTCAGACCCATGGGAAAGGTGACACTGATGAACAATTAACACATGCAGACTGATTCCTACAGCAAATTTTATGGAGTTTATTCCATATTTTATACATAAAAAATATGCAATATAATGTAATGTAATATCTTAAGATACAAATTAAATGTTGAAAACTTAAAAACATAGCCTAACCCATAAATTTACTAAAAGGTATGCTCCTTGAAAGCCATATGTTAATAGAAATTAATTTCACAACAATTTAAAAACATAATTTACATGAATTTTAATCTAGAATGTCATCAAATGATGAATAAAGTAAAAGGTAAAAAAGGTAAAACTGTCCCTGTAACAGGCCCATAGGGTTGTGAGATGTAGAGGCTCCCACATTTTCTAGAGCATCGGCTCACAGATGGTGATGAGGTTGTCAGCCTTACATGCTGGCTGCCAATTTACTCCCAGGAAGATTCCTGGCACTCATTTCTGTTAGAGGCTGAGTCGACCTCAGGGCCATAGTGCGACTGGAAGGATTAGGTCAATTGAAAAATCCACCTCATTGGGATAAAATGAGGAGTAAGGTAAGGTAAATTTGTCCCTACACCTGATTACTTAAGCAACGTGACATGAAGACATATGGGGGAGTGAATGTATAGCTTCCACCATTCTTGCTTTCAGGATTAGATTAAGGTGAGTGGTCAGCTTCATGCCCTAACCACCTTACCTCCAGTACATATTGGACAAGGGGCTCAGTGGGCCCTAGAGCCAGTCTGGATGCTGTGGAGAAGACAAAATCTTTTGTCCCTGCTGGGAATCGAGCCCTGGCTGTCCAGCCCACTGCTATAGCAACCGAGCTATCCTGGCTCATGGGTCATTTGCGAGAGAGATACAGTGAGTGCACGTGTGCGTGCAAAAGCACGCAGATGGATAGAATGTTGTAATAATGTCAAAATTCTAAGAGTGAAGTGAATATTAGCACATGGTTAACCAACACCAGCAATGAAAAGGTTAATAAATAACCACAAATACCTAAAAGCAATGAATTCCCAACTCCAGCCCACTTTCTTCTTGTCTGGCTCCACTGCATTCGTGTTTGTTTTGAATTTTCTATTTCACCCTGACAGTTTTGTACAAGGACCTCTAACAGCACTTCCTGAACAGACAGAGCAGCCACCATGCACACTGTGTAAGAAAGTAGGCCCTGCTGGTGACTCAGAGCCAACATTTTCCCAAATCGTGGTGCCACAGGGAATGCAGATATGGCATAACCCAGGGGAGTTACTCTGGAATCCCAGTCATCTGCAAGCAAAGTCACAAGAGTGAAAAGATGTGCTCCAGTTCACAGTAAACATTTCCTCGAACTTACAAACATTAATACGTGTGAATGAAGCTGTTCCGTACTTTAATGCTCCAATCATTCAGTCATGTGTATAAATCAGTCATCATTTTCAAGAATTACTTGTGGTGGTGAAATATAGTGTCTGTGCTCCCCAGAATATTCTGTGACATGATGATCAATTAATCTCCTATCAATGGTGAAGTGAGACATGATATTCTAAACCACACCCTACCCTAATGAAACCTGGTTCTCCTTAGAATACACCACTTAAGACAATGTCAAAATTAAAGTAGATAACAGAAAAAGATATACACTATTCAGTTTCATTATTTGGCTTAATTTAATCACTGGCATTACAATAGTACTGCTGTATATTATTATACATTCAAGATGTACTATTTTTCAGCATAACTATGATGCATTAATGACCACAACATAAATTTTCGCCACTGTGAAAACCTAAAATCTTGTACGGATGACTAGTTTTGGAACCTAATGTATTTATCCCCTTATCACCATGAACACAATCCCATACTGAACTTAGGGCGGGCATAACAAAAATTGTGTGTTGCAGAAATAAATAACGGCTTCAAAATTATAGACACTGAGAGATAATCTTACAAGGCCACAGTCAGCTTCAGTGCTTCAATTTTGAAAAACTGGGTTCAACACACAGAAAAACTATAGGAGGAAGATTCTCCAAAAGAAATAGTACAAGACAAGGTCATGGAGCCACTTATCAACCTGATGGAATCAAGTTCAGATGGTTCAGACAGTGATAATAACCTCTATTAAATTCAAGGTAATAAATGTCAATAATTATATTGTACAAATAATTATGATCCCTTAATTAAATGCTTAATAAAATGCAGTACTAGTAAATCACAATATAAAAAGCTCTGTCTTGCTTGGTACAGCAACCCACCAAGTTACATGTAGGCTCAAATGCTTCTTCAGTTGGTCAAGAAACTCTCCACCCTCTATGGATTCTGAAGGTTAACTGCCATGTTCACAACAGTCAGTCACTGGACCTATCCTGCGGAAGTTCAATCTGGTCTATGCCTTCAAATAGTAGGTCCTTAAGATATGTCTTAATTTATCCTTCCATGTAACCTGCATCTCCAAAATCAAGACACTGTATGGATTCTTCATTTCTCCCATGCATGCAACAAACCTCACCCATCATATTTTGCTTAATTCAATCTCCTTAACAGTACCTGGTGGAACATACACATTATGAAGCTCCTCATTATACAGTTTCTCCATCTTTCTGTTACTTTTAGAACTATGTTTCACCAATAATATCTCACCTGCACTGCACATTAAACGTAATATTTGCAAATCTGAGCTAATGTTGGGTGGTTGGTTGGTTGGTTTCCAATGGCTACATTTGGGATCGTTTAACCCATTTTGCTTCTTGCTTCCCAATAGAGAGCATTCAAGTTCTTGCTTTGTTGCATTTTGAAGAAGTTTGCACTTTTCTTTTGGGAAGCTTTGCCAGGTTTGTTGCACTTTTGCTAATGTATACCTCAGGCAGCATGGAAAATATAAAGGAAGAAACCCGCTCAGAATCATAACTTGTACTTTATGTGATTTAAATTTATGTTTTAAAAAATTTAAGCTCACAAAATTTGATTAGTGTGATGTTTTATATACACACTTTCTCAGTATGGTGTAGTCTATACAGCATATGGACATACATACTAATCTCATTACTGCTTGCAACTATTACTTAGGAAATTTATTTTCCACACCAGCAGATATCAACGGATGGGGTAGTGGGGGGACAGTTATGAGGAATAGGGAAACTTGCATATACATTGACACTTCACATCACTATGTAATATACTGACCTTTATGTTCTGATTCCTTCAAAGCCCCTAGAAGCACTAATCTCCTCTCTGCAGACTTTACTTGTACAATATCTGGAGGAGATGGAAATGGAAAATTTACAACTTTGTCAATGTTCATTGCTTTCATCTGCAATAAAAGGTCATCTACTGGCTTGCGTTGTATTTCTGGTGCAGAAAAATCTTCGAACTGGTCATTGAATACAGCAGATGAATACAACCTATGATAAATGGAGAACAAAAAATCAGTGAATAATATATATAAATGGAACCCAATGGAAATAATACAATTACTAAATGGATCCATATTAGGACACAAACCAACAACAAAAGATGTATCATGAAAAGTGCCCAATGATGATCCAACTGGATCAAAACATGTAGCAAATACAGAATAATAAAGTAATAATGGTGTGTCAACAGCCATATAATAGTACCATAATGTAAGTCATGATGGCATACCCCAGAAGAATAACAAAAGAAGATACTTTAATGTAAAGTTTAAATGCAGCATAATAATACTGAGAAAATAAAGTAACACTATAACTGTAGAACAAAAATTAAACAGATATAATAAAACTTTCATATAAAGAAAATTGGAAGATCAAAACTTATTGTTTATGTTGCACAGCAAGTCTTTTTTAAGGTGTCTAACTTTTCAAAATTTAGTTCATTTTGATTTCCTTGTGACTTCACAGACTTCCTTTGTTCACGTCACTATTTGAAGTTACAGTCCCATCATTTTCCTTTTCAGGAAAATCTCAATCAGGATAGCCAGTTTCAAAATTGAAATTGCACCCTGAACCTACAACACACAAAAACAAAAGTGCTGACCATTGTATTGTGAAATTCAGTAGCTACTGATACAAAAAAACTCCGACAGAATGATTATCTGGGGGTTAATCTACACAATTTCAAACACAATTCAGGTATACTGTGTGTTCTGCTAATAGGCCTATGAACTTTTTTTTTATTGCTAGTGGGGTGAGACTAAGTCCCTTGTACTGCGGCCACTTCTGGCCTATTGTACCAGCCCCAGATGATAGGTGAGGGTGATTGTGGAGCAATTGGTGGAATGAAGATTGGCAGGGGAAACCAAAGTACTTGGAGAAAACCTGCCCCAGTGCCACATTGTCCACTACAAATCCTCCTTGACCAGACCCGGGATCAAACCCGGGCCGCCGCGGTGAGAAGCCAGCGATTAACCGCTGGAGCTATGCTGCGGCCAGCCTATGAACTTACCTATAACAGTGTCCTGGCCCCATTCGTCCTGCTCTCCCAGCCCTCTGATTGGCTGCTGCCTTGCTGCACCAAGTAATAGTGAATGCAGATACACCTGTCACTTTATCATACAGTCGAGTCTTGACACGCCCACAGTCCACCACATACTTCACATTAGGAATGGTAAGAGAGGTCTCCGCAACATTTGTTGCTACAACACACAATCTACTACCTTCAGGAGGGGGTTCAAACACCTAAGAAAGATGAATGTTCAAATCATATACAGAGGAAAATCATTCAGTATGTAAGTGCAAGAAGAAAAACTTTGAAGAAAGCAGTCAAATCTTACACAGAAAAACTTTGTTAGCATAGTAAGTTCCAGAGTTACAAACATCCAACTTGGGAATATCCACACATGAATAAAGTCACACTACACTTGATATTTCTTTCAGGATGACTTTGGCTCTAACATAATAGTCATGGCTCATGAAGAGTCGTAATAAGATCATGGGTGCACAATGAACACAGAAGTGGTCTGAATGCTTGATATGAATGAAGTAGTTGGCCCCCAGTCCTAAGTTAATACTAACACCTTAATATTTCATAATTTGAATATATGGATGCCAAATCATTTGAATGTAGCAGTCATCATTGCAAACTACCAGTCACATGAAATTCTTCTGTTGTGCATGCAGCATCAACGAACCAGTTGGTGAGTGTTTTGCAGAAAATGCAAAACCCTTGAGTTAGGTTCAAATACAAGTGACTGGCACATATACTTTATGTAATTTTGCCAATACAGTATAAAATGTTATGGTCATGTTTTATGATTTGCGTAAAATCCTATACCTTGAACAATTGTACTGTGGGGGCACAATGAATGTAAAGACATTAAAGTTTCAAGTGTAAAACAAAGGAAATACTCACCAGAGCCTGTTTATTACTTGGAAGAAGGGAGTATAGAGGCAGTACCCACAATGGCTGACATGCTGCTAGTCCTCTCAGATTCAGTTGATCCTCATCTTCATCTGACTCAATATCCCCAAGATCATCTTCTCCCAGGAGATCTACTTCTGTGTCATCTCCTGGGATGACAGAGTAGTTATCCAGGTTTATATCTGGTAATGCCATCTCTCCCTTACGAATCTTCTTTGCCTTGCGAGCATTCTGAATTGCTTTTTGCATGTCCAGTTCCATTTCCTCTTCATCAACTACAACATCCCCTTCTGTTTCTATGTCTCTCTTTTGAGACTCACTTCTTGAAATCTGTCCTTTATTCTTCTTATTTTCTTTCCTCCTCCCATGGAATGGAAAAGCTCTTCGAAGTTTCCTCACCAAGACATTAACTTCTTGCTGTCCTGTTGAAAGAAATGTAAAATTTGTTGATAAAATTTTAAAACAATTTAAACTATTTACAATGAAATCTCTATTTAGTATTACTCCTGCAAGGGGAGATGTTAAATTTCAAAACTGAGCTCAGGAAAACCTTAAGTGGAACAAATCTGACATTAAGGTAACAAGCTAGGAACAGATAAATTAGACAGTATAAAGAAAAACCATATTCCAAAGAATATTATCAGTAAATGATAATTTTACCATGTTCAAAAGAAAGGCTATGTTTCAAGCACAGGATATTCGCTTTATGAATGTCCTGAAACTTTCCTTAAATACCTAAACTGAAATATCTGTATAGACAGCAGTAAAAAAATTAGTATATTTAATATCCAACTCCAATAAAACGCATGTAAAGGAGTTACGTATTGTGTACCTCTAACAATGGTACAACTTGGAATGCATAGTTCATGATATAAAGCAAGCACAGGATACATGATTACATTCAAATTAAAAGTTCATTTCATTATGTTGCATGTTTCACAGCTTTTTGTATATTCACCAATCATAATTTTGTAACATATCTAGGTGGAATGAAGATTGTGATCATGTTCCATCCTATGATCATGTTCCATCCTTCAAAGCTTCTTCAACTGTAGAATCGCTTGAGAACAAAGGCAGAAACATACTGTGGTACACAGACCCACTGCTAGGCAATGACTGTGAAACAAGCAATTATATGACAGCCACTGCTATGTAGTGGTTCTACCAACAGACATGAACACGAGAATTCCGTAGCAACAACTGCACTGCAACAGGGAAGTGGTGTTTCTTATGCAGTCTGTGCCAAGATGTTATAAGCTGGACAAGTTAGTCGGTATTGACACAATCATGTAAAATATCTCAGTGTAATCTCTGATGAGAGTATTACATGGAGCCTGCACATAGATGATTGAAGCCAAAAAGCCTTCAGAACATTTATTATAATCTACTCCCTGTTCAAAAGTGAGCATTTAAGCACAAACATTAAACTAACCCTCCATAAATCACTGATCAGATCAGTAATGACTTATGCTTGCCCCACCTGGGAATTAGTGGCAGACACCTACCTCTTACAACTGCAGCATCTGCAAAACAAGGTTCTCTGTGCCACTGGAAATTTTCCAAGGTGCACACCAGTCTGAAATCTGTACATGGCTTCTATGTGTTTACACTTACATAATAAAACTGAGCAGGGAGCAAGCAGTCATATAAAATCATGAGAATGGACATGTTCATAGCATAGGGCAAGGCGAAGCCAAACAGGGAATATAAGAGGCTTAAACTTGGTGGTAGTCAAGCTTATGACCATTCAAGTGACTAAGCTGCTGTCGTAGCATAATGTAAGTAAGATAGACATGATCTGCTTTGCAAAGCCTGACTGACAGTGGAATTGTATATAACGCACAAAGAAGAATTTTCAGTAACATGCTATATGTGTGATACATACACTTGAGAAATGCAAAGCCTATTCATAAGAGACAAACCCACCCTCTCATCACAGATGGTAGTACATAAGGACTATGACTGCAAGGGTTCAGTTGAAGAAAAGAAAATATATGGTGATGAGCCTCAAGGGGCTTGGGGCTGAGAAGAACTGATTGGCAGTAAACCACCAGTCGTCAAGTAACTCTGACTCTGGGTGTGGACACCAAGACAGACTGGACAGCTGACTGTTGGTCATAAAGTAACTTTGACTTTGACTTTGAAGGAGTGAGTGAAGAGGGACTTAGGAGGGAGTGAGGAGATGGTTGGTGAGTTAGTGAGTCAATTAAAGGACTGTTGGAGTTCAGTCGTTGTGAGCTGTTGCTGACAGAAGCTGGTAGCTGAGGCCAGGGATAGTTCGGGAACCCAGAGGAAGGGGAACCTCTTCCACTGGAAGCAGCTACCAAGCAATGGCTAGTAGAGACTGCAACAGACTGAAAGCACTAGTCTTTGTGTGATAGTGATTTCTGAAGTGCAGCACCAAGTTGTATAAGTGTGCAATAAATGTGATTATCAATGCAAACCCTATCTTACTTACTTACTTACTTTTTCATGGAGCTGAGCCCTTCTGGAGGAGTCGCCAATTCTGCAGTTACTCAAGAATTTCCCAGCGTTTTATGGAATCCGAAGGTTCATTACCATGTTCACAAGAGCCCTCCAGTAGTCCCTATCCTGAGCCAGATCAAACCAATCCATACCATCCCATCCCATCCAATCTCTCTAAGATCCATTTTAATATTGTCCACCCACCTATGCCTTGGTCTTCCCTGTGGTCTCTTTCCTTCTGGCTTTCCCACCAATAACCTATACGCATTCCTGTCTCCCCCATTCATGCTACATGCCCTGCCCACCTCATCCTCCTTGACTTGATCACTCTAATTATACTTGGAGAAGAGCACAAGTTATGAAGCTCCTCACTGTGCAGTTTTCTCCAACCTCCTGTCACTTCATCTCTCTTCGGTCCAAATATTCTCCTCAACACCCTGTTCTCAAACACCCTCAATCTATGGTCCTCCCTTAATGTCAGAGACCAAGTTTCACACCCATACAGAAACACACCAAAATTATAATTTTGTATATTGTAATTTTTAGTTTTTTGGAGTGCAGACGAGAAGACAAAAGGTTCTGGACTGAATGACAGCAAGCATTACCCAAGTCCAAATCCTGTCTACAGTCGCTAAAATCTTGACAATACTTTCATTTTAAGTATGGCAGAAAACAGAGGGGGGAAATATATATATATATATATATATAATTTCCAGTCTAAACTAATAAATTGGACTGACAGAATGTTATACTTTAAGATGAATGTTATAAGCCTTCCTGTCAAATTACTGATGACACACACCTATTCACGAAAAGGCAACAAAAACCACTTTACAATGGCTACAGAAAGTTCTGAGAATCGCAGTCACAATAAAGTACCATTAAGGTGGCTTCAGGATTGTAATAGACTAAAAATATAAACTAAAACTTCCATTCTAAGTCTCTAAAACAAAGAAAATTCTAAGTCCCTGTGAAAAAAAAAAGCCTTATAAAAGCATAAGGTTTGCTGGGAGCCCTTATTCCATTCCCAACAGTGCAGATATCATTGCTGGTAGTTATGGAACAGACTGTTAGCAGTGACAGAGATGTCTACGCTTCAGTCAGCATTGCAATCTTAACCTCTGACAAAAACAAATTTCCATTTTTGATAGCATATAATATAGTAAAACTGTAGCTTCATGTTTTTAAGTGAGGGTCAGTGGTAGGATTGTCCAGCTAGAAACATGAATTTCTTTCAAAGGTTCTACCCATTTGCTGCATTTGAGACCATTCAGAAACTCTGGTGGTGTATGAACAGAGAGGGAGAAGAAAATGGAATGTATAGTGGTAACATCCAAATAATATCTATTACTGAAAGTTATAAAGTGTGTGTCAAAACTATCACCCGCTGTTATAGTTGGTCAAGTTGTGACTGCTAGAAATGTATCTCTGTAGTTTAAAAGTGAACCTCATAATCATTATAATCATAATGATCACTGCGTTGCTCTGATACCAGTTGTGGAAAACATTTCATCCAGACAGAAGCAACATATTGTTTATCTGCCTCATTTAGTGTCTTAATGTGAATGTAGCTGTTTCCCCCCCACAAAAAAGTTATTGATATTAGGTATTTTTGATGAAGTCTACCTTCACAAATTCTCTATTAAAATTTCAACAGGCTTTATACTAGTATAAGACATAATTTTCTTAAAAAGAAATCTCATATTAAACACCACAATCAAGGCTAGAGTAGTAGTAGTAGTAGTGCATGGACTGAAAAAGTACTTAGAATTTCAGACTGAGGTTTTCATGAATTCTCAGCTGACCATAATAGAAACCTTGATATAGATGAGTGGATAATATTAAAGTGAATACACTTAACCCCCCCCCCTTCCTTTACAGTTTCTTTAGGGAGCAGTGGATTCAAGCACTAAACAGCGGAAAACATTAAATGAAGAAAATTTTAACACTGAGATTATAGTCTTGGATCACACTAACAGAATGTTAAATGACAGATAACCATAAATAAAGTAACATAAACGTGAACCCCATTAAAATAGAGAAGCTGTGATGATCTGAGTGGCTCAAGATGGGGTCCAATGACACATTGACGTGAACAATATTATGAACTTCAGGCTTCCATAAAAGGCAGAAAATTTCTTGAATAGCTGAGTGACTATCAGCTTTTCAAAGGACTCTGCTCCATTAAATTACATGGTGAGTTATTCCAGGATTTATCACATACCAGTAAGAAATATTAAAATTCCACCTTCAGGCAGCTGAGTATGAATCTTGCAGGCCTTGGTGAAAGCCTCTGCTACGTAATCAGCTGCTGTTCGCTTATTGAAATGGACTGTGACAGGAAACTGACGAGAATCCACCTTAATAACAGGTGGTGTGGTCTTGAAGAGGCGGGGGTTCCCAGTAAAATCTTCCAGTCTCAGAGTGGCAGACATGATGACAAGTTTCAGAGGGTTACCTCGCTTATTCCTCAGTGGCACAATACGAGATAACAGACCAATCAAAATATCTGTATACACACTCCTCTCATGAGCTTCATCCAAGATGATGATGGAATATCTGGACAGTAAAAAGTCCTGTAAAACCAAAAGTCACAAGCCTGAAATATTTATATATACATTTATCTATTTAATGATGCTGTCAGTATCTCAGACCATACAGCATTGCATGAAAGGAACATTAATGAGCAATGAACCAGAAAAGATTTGGAAAGAAGTGGTCATAGCCTATTTCAAGGCTTGTTCCAGCATTCATCTGGCGAGACTGAGAATAACCACAACAAATCTCAGTTAGAATAATCAGCGTCCTGGTAAAGATACAAACCGGGCACCTCCTACATATCAGAAACGTTACCACCTACATCAATTTCCTCACTACATATTCTTACAGATGACACACACAAGCCTGATTCAGTGAATAAGTGTCACAAAAAATGTTGCATCTAATATTTTGCATCCAACTAGGGTGAGTATACAAATATCAACCCTTTGACTCTAAACAAACCTGCTGCATACATAACCTTACACAAAGAGTTATATTTTATTAAATTAAATCAACTGTTACGTTAAGATCATGATTACTGCAATGAAGTCTTCTTGGATAATCAACTATATGAAGACCACCTGAGAAGACCTCAACGAATTCAGCAACTATGAAAGCTGCAAGTCTTGAAAATACAATCATTTATTCTCTTGTTCCCTTAATACAGTATGTCCATTTGCTGTAGATTCAAGATCAACTATGAAAGAGCTAATCAACAGAAGAGATTCTATAATGCACAGAGGCCTGAAATATTTTCCTTTGTATTTGAATACAAGTGATGATCTCAGTAAAATCTATATATCTATATATCAATGTACAGATCTGTGGCACAATAAGCCATTTTTAAGAACTTCAGCGAAATCCAACTTGAGCTTTTTGTAGAGTTTATACAGGATCAGTATGACCCAAAGTGATTTTCACCTGTTATTTTTAATGCATTCTCCAAATACCATATTTACTTAGTTAAGCAGTTATAGAAGTGTATGTAAGTAGATGTTGACACAGATATGACTCCCTGTAATGCATTTATTTTAACTGATCTGTGCAAAGAATGATAAAAAATATGAAGTTGAGAGACAGTGTTCAGTATCAATTATGCATTACAATCACCAACTTACGCTCTGGATTTCTTTTAGAAGTACACCATCCGTCATAAACTTTATTCGTGTACTCTCAGTAACATTGCCCTCGAACCTGATAAGGTAAGACACCTCAGAGCTTGACAAATTCATCTCCTCTGCAACTCGTTTTGACATGGAGATAGCAGCTACCCTTCTTGGTTCTGTTATGCCTATCATTCTATTATCTCTGAAAAGCAAATAACACCATAAAACCATTTTGTGCTACAGTTGTTCATCTAATCTGTGCTCATAACCTGATACATTGCTCACCTGCAATCACTTCCACTGGAGGTCATATCACTGAACAATTTGTCACAGCTTTCCAGAGGGTCATGGTCACTATTTGCAGTCAAGCACTGTGCAAGTTTCATGTAGGCTGTGCTTTGCCATTTTGCTGCCGGTGATTTTTAATTTCTTTGCACTGTGATTTCATAAATGGAGGACTACCAAATTGAACAAGGTTATGTTACTTGACACCGTGTTAAAAGTTTAAATTGTACTAGTACTTTCATAGAAATGACCAAAACTTAAGTATAAAAACTATTTCAAAATATGATACAATTTTATATGGCACAAGTGATTAAAGGGGAGATAATGATGGAATTTCAAAACTGAAGTCTTTCAACAGACATGTGCAAGAGGTGTTTAATAAGTAATATCTTTGGATCAGGTATGCTGTATTTATTACTTCAATGTCAATGTCCTATTGAACAAGGAACAGCAGACACAAACCTTTCACTTCTCGACAAAATTACCAAAGGCATTTGTCCCAGTGATCCACAACATGTTCATTTCTGGTGGAAGAGAAATTAGCTAATTAAATATGTGTTTGTGGGGGGCACATAGCAGTATAGTTGCTACAATGTAGAAGTTTGTGGGTTCGATTCCCAATGATGTCATAGATTTTTCAGTTGACCTAGTCCTTCCAGCCATGCTATGGCCCTGAGGTTGATTCAAACTCTTAACAGAAATGAGCACCAGGAATCTTCCGTCATGTCACATTGCTCATTCTGAGTAGACTATAGGCATACCACTATTTCTTCTTGTCCAAGGGGACATGCTGGTGATGTCTGTGCTCATCCTCGCAAATTGGCACTTCCAACATCGTGCTGTGGTTGACACTTCTTTTTTTGGTTTCGATGTTGTCCAGCCTTCCTTCCTCACGGATTGGGCCTCGTGCTACTATTCTCCAACAGCTTCCTCCTTGGTGCTATTCACTTTGAGCAGTTCCCTTGTAAGGTGTTAGCCAGTCAAAAGGTACTACCGTCATCCTCATTCTAGGGTGTCAATGAATCTGGTATAACACACTGCTGATTTGGAACACTATCTTGTAAGGGAAGGGCAAGTGGTAGCATAGTTGGTTCAAGGGCTGAAGGGTTGAAGCTTAGGAGACTCATTTGGTGTGGGTTAGGTGATATAACCACACTTGGTCACTCTCATGGTAGCCTGTGGAGTTGGCCAGCCAGTTGTAGTTAGGTTCCCCTTCAGTCACTGGTCAGCTTCAAATGTTGGTGGGCATAATAATGGATGTCATGTAAACAATCCATAAGATCTGCTGCATGGTCAATGGTAGGACGCTCCTTGTGGTAGAGTGCCATCATCAGGTCACAGGGCAGGTAAAGTTCTTCCCTGAACATTAGGTTAGCTGCAGTCATGCCCATATAGGGTCATGGGTGGAAGCCTTGTATGCAAGAAGATGGGCAATGTTGTGTCCCAAGCCCTCTGGTGCTTGTTGCTGGTGCTCCTTGACCATTTTTATATACCACTCCCCCATGCCATCCAACAGCAGGTGAAGGGGTGTGGTGTGTTTTACACACCCCCAGTCATTGCAACACCTGTATCAGACAGGACACAAAGTTATGGCTCTAGTCACTGTGAAGCTCTCACAGTACTCCTAAGCAGCAGAAAAATCTGGCCACCAGGACCTCTGCCACCATCAACGTCTCCTGGTTGGGAATGGTGTAGACTTCTGGCCACTTGGTGAAGTAGTCCATAGCAATCACAAGGCATCAGTTTCCTTGGTTACTCTGAGGGAAGGGACATGCTACATCGATGGCTATCCTCTTGAATGATGTACTGATGTATAAGGCTTTGGCCCCTGGTTTGCAGGCCTTAACTTGTTGTGCAGGTGTCACAGTGCTGGCAATACTTTCCAACATTATGTCATTCCTTCATATGAGAGACTTCCATTGGGACCAGTAGCCCTTGTATATAGCACTACAGTGAGGACTGTCTTTCCAGTCGAGGCACTGTCCAGTCTCTGTTTCTTCTACAACTGGATCCACATCTTTGTCACTCAGCTGCTCCATTTTTAGGGTGGCTGGGTTCCAGCCATCTGGGGCTATGACCATAAGAGCTAGCACTTGCTTAACTTCTGCCTGCACCTCAACTTTTTGACACTGAGTACATTCTTCTCACCATGGTCTGCAGGAGAGGGCATTGGTATTGTTGTGTTTCTGACACTGGCTGTGCTTGGAAGTTGTATTCCGGGTAGCACTGGATCCAGCAGGCTCTTTGTCCCTAGAGGCTCTTAAAGCTCATGAGCCAGGTGAGTGTATGCAAGTGGAACTCTTGTCCATAGCCTAGCAATGGATGACTTCTCTTGTTAAACTATTCTGTCATGTCACAGTATCATGGGAAACTGGGCTGTGCCATAGCTCAAGCAGTTAGTCGCTGGCTTCCCACCACGGCGGCCCGGGTTCGATCCTTGGCCTGGTCAAGTGGGATTTGTGGTGGACAAAGTGGCGCTGCGGTAGGTTTTCTCTGAGTACTTCGGTTTCCCTTGCCACTCTTCATTCCACCAATTGCTCCACAATCACCCTCACCTATCATCTGGGGCTGATACAACTGGCCAGAAGTGGCTGCAGTACAAGGGACTTAGTCCCACCCCACTAGCAATAAAAAAATCATGGGAAATTCAATTAAAAGGCACATCTGTTCTACAGGTCTGTCTCCAAACTGCTACTTCTATATGAAAAAACAAATACAAATCTCACTTTATTGCCAACTGACTCTCAAAGATTTGGTTAAAACAATTTCAACAAAATTTTCATTTATGCAACTGGTGCAAATGAACATTCAGAAATAAAAAGACATTGACATTAACTGAAATATCTTACATAATATTAAAGTGTTTCTCATGCATGCATGGACTCAGTTTACTCCTCAAAATCTGATAATTACATTAAAAACAAACCTTGCATAACCTGCTTCATATAAGAACTGAGGAACTTGGGTAGTCTTCCCACTGCCTGTTTCTCCAGCCAAAATAACAACAAGGTTTTCATTTACTGCCTCCATGATAGCCTGCTCCTCAGCCAGTATAGGAAGTTTGAGTCGACTCTCCTGAATTTTTGGATTCCTATTCACTGGAACAAACACTGCTGGTTTCCTTGTAGTATTTTGCTGCTTTTCCTTGAGTTCAGCATTGCCTCTCTGTTTTGATGCATGATTCTGAGGGTAAGATAATGTTTCAGATGACCGCTGACAAACAGGATCATCCTGTTTAGTCTTAACTTCCTGGACACAATCCTGTTCAACACTGCGGTCATGTATATCATTTCCTTCAGTCTCTTCTTCAACTTCTCTCAGATTGTCACTTCCTTCATCACAAGTATCATCATCATCATCATCATCATCATCATCACTGTCAACATCGTCATCGTCGTCATCATCATCACTTGAAGTCTGTAAAAATAAATAAAAGGTAAATGTAAAGTAGTCCCTGTCAGAAAGTCAAAGTATACCAAATAAGGATGATGAAGATGTCATGGCAATGATCAACACCGCCTCCACCACCATCCATGCCAGACATATGCAGTGTGTAGCTTGTGATCGCACTCATATGAAATACATAATTTATTTCAACTTATTGTGATATGACATGTGCCTGTGCTTTACTCTGGATGTTTTGTGACTTCACCACCTCCCGGGCTTCTAGATTGTTCTCAGACTGTCCTGAAAACACTGCTGGCCTGATGTTTCCAGAATGAGGATGCCTGAATAAAAGTATTCCGTAGTTTGTGAGCTGTGCATTTCAGTGGAGTCTGATCATGCGCTTAAAAGCAGCATACAGCGTTCAAGTGTGGAGAAATAGTGCATGCTGTGAAACGGAAGTAGTGGGTTCCATGCTGGCAGCAACAAGTCAAGAGAGAATAGTACAGTGACACTGAGTGAAATACTGGCAGATTAAACAAGGCATCATCAAGATCTTAAATGGCTAATGGCATTTGAAAACAACTGTTCTAAACCAAAGTAAATATTATATTATTTCACTATATCTGGGATTTCAGTATGAAAATATTACAATCAAGATACAACCTAAAACAAATTCTGGCTTTTCTCCTGATGAAGGAACTGAACCCTGGTAATTACAGCATCATACTGGTATCATCAATGATGATTATACTAGGTTCATGAGATGCAGTGTCAGGATTTCTCAGTAAATTCCAATATTTGTTCTACTAAAAACTTTCTGACTGTGCAGTCCTTTCACTGGATAAGACTGTAATACTGATGTGACATTAAACTGTGTTCAGATATCAAACATAAGTATTTCTTTTCAGACATATACAGAAGTCCTTAACCTCACCGACTGATTCACAACAATCAATTCATGGCAACTAGTGTACAGCCACCCTCAAGACAAATATGAATTTTGCACAGAATCAGTATGGCTGATGGCCAATAACATTTGGAATGAAGTACATAGTTACACTTCACATAAGACAGGAGGTGTTCATAATGTCATCTCTCTATATACAGACATTCCTCATACCAGTGAAATAGGTTCTAGTTTACTATTTTTCACACTGCTCTGCAGAAATATTCACATTCTCTGTGAATGTTTTCTTTTACTTCTTCTGTTCAGGAGTTACCCTTGTAAACTTTGTCCTTCATACAACCAATTAAAAAATCATGATTAAGATCAGGTGAACATGCTGACCAAATACCACTGCTCATAATTCTGTCCCTTAAGACATCAGACAAAGCCTACATAGACATACATGCAGTGTGGGCAGTTGCCGAGTCTCGCTGAAACCAGTCATAGTCTGTCTTCTGTTAACTCTGGAAAATACTGCCTGAGAATCATCTGTACATAGCTTTTGTAATTATGGTAACTGTGTCATTAAAACCACAAAGACCAACAATCCCTCTTGCACATATAGCACACCAGACACCAAATTTCATTAAATGGAGTGGGACTTCGAAAGTGAAATGTGGATTCTGTGAACTCCAGTAGTGTTTATGTATCCCTGTAAGTGAAACCGTGCTTCATCAGAAAGAATGTCAATTGTAGATCTATTGCATCTTCAATGACGGACCGTAGAAACCAACCGCAAAAATGAATTCTGCTGCCTGGATCACGAGGCCACAAGGCATGGGTTGCTGTTGTTTTAGAAGGTCTAAGCTTCAATAAGTATGTTACCCTTCTTGCCCTTGACTTTGACAACCCAGTCTCTTGAGCTAAGCATATTAATGACTTTCTAGGTGTATGTTCAAGCCTGAGTCTTGGGTCATCTAATTTCTCCTCAGTAAGCATTCAGCACTTATGTTTCTGAGTCCTGTTGATCTAAGTTTATTCACCAAATTGTAAATTGTTCATTTGCTGGGAGCTCTTTCATCACAGAATTCATACTGGTATTTTCACTGATACTTTGTTGCAGATCTTTATTTCACATAGCTGTCATACAAAAATACACATTGCTTTGAAGTATACCACGCCATGGCATAACACACTGCTCATTTGGCTATAACCAAGAACAAAATGGCTACTGCAGCTTATAACTTATAACTGCTGCCCACAATCAACAAATAATGAACAGATTTCTCTGCATGAACTGCACTGCTTGCCATGAAACACAATACCATGAAGCAGTCAATCAAGTTAATAACTTTCCCGTAGAAGCAAATGTGTTTTAAAGACTGCTTAAATAAAAGTCTTACCTCAAATCCTACAACATTTGGATCCTTGCCTTCTGAAGTTTTGTTTACCTCAGTACCCATCATTAGTAAGCGCTTACGTTTCCGACTGCCAGAAATACTGTTAATAATCTGCACTTCCTCTTCATTTTTATCATTTCTCCGCTTTCGTGTAATTTTATTATCAACCTTCTCCTGCTCAAGGAAGTGTTTTTTCAAACCCTTCGTCTGAATAGATGTTATGGATGTTAGTTGACTCAAATATTGTGGCTGTAGCTGAACCTTCGACAAAGCTTCCAGAAGTGCAGATCTCTATACAACAGGCAAAAGCAAGTGTAGAAAGTTCATGTCTCATGACCTAAATACACGTCACAATTATGCACAAATAACTAATGAATTACTGGAAAATGTGAGAAATTGTAAATATCTGAGAATTAAAGCAACATATCAAAATTACAGTCATCACACTAATTCACAAAACTAGGAGGAAACTGGACTTTGGGAATGATTAATACCATTCAGGTCATTAACATTTATTTTCCTACCTCCTACCTAAAAATCTAAAGATAAAATTTATAAAACTATGTTACCTGTCTTATACAGGTGTGAATCTTGGCCTTTCACCCTAAGCCAGGAATGGTGAACCTCTGGCACAAAATGAAATATGCAATGACACCACTGATTACAGTGTGTCTATACTAACATCTGAAGCCACTTTATAATTCAGTAGTTCACCAACCGTAACTCCATTTCACAAGGTACATTTTTGTGGTTACTTTATATACGAGGGTTGGAACTTCAATAGTGGCAACACTGCTGTAGAGATGCCATGCAACGGAACCAAATAATGTCACTTATACCACATGTTAGTTACATACCTGCCTTACCTCAGAGCAAATGGACTCTCCCTTCCCACATCATGCGCATGCGCTGTGACGAGAAGAACAGAGCCTCGTGTTAGCTGGCTGTAATGCAGTGTTGTCACAATGTTTTTGAAACAGGAACAATGGAGTTGGATAAAGATTGAATGTGCCAGAGGCCGTACAGCACGACAGTGTCATCAAGGTCTTCAAGAGACTTGCGGGGAATCTGCATTGCCTTACAGAACAATGGCAAGGTGGTAAAAGCCTTCAACAAGGGACACCAAAATGTGGCAGACATGCGTCGGTCAGGTCGTCCTAGTGTCAGTGAAGAAGAAGTGTATGCTCTTTCTGCATTACTGGAGAGTGATCGACGCCATACGATTTGTGAGCTAGCCCAAGAGACAGGATTAGCACATATGACTGTTCTTCACATTCTGAAGGAACGCGTGGGCATGAGAAAAACTGCATCATGTTGGGCTCCGGACGATATGACGGAAATGCAGAAATGGCAAGCTGTGGCTGATTTGTTCAATCAATGGGGCTGGGAAGTGCTGTACCATCCACCATACTCCCTGGATTCAAGCCCTTGTGACTTCAACTTGATTCCTAAGATGAAGGAACCACTTTGTGGCTTTCGCTTCAGAACCGTTCCAGAGATTCTTCAGGCCGGAGACCGATCCATTTGAACTATCAAAACAACAGGCGCTGCTAAAGGTATCCTACAGCTTCTACATCGCTGGCAATGGGTTGTACACAATTCTGGTGACTACATTGAAGGACGGTAAAACTTCGAAACCTGCATCTATTTTGTATCAGTTGTAAATAAATATTTGCCACTATTAAAGTTCCAACCCTCGTATTTCATCCCAAATACCAAGAAGTAGTCCCACTGTACCCAGAAAAAGGTAGCTCAATTGTAATATTTTACTTGTTATTTTGAACTGATACAGTCAAATTTAAGAAGCCAGCATTCACATAGAGTGCATTTTGTGTTGCTGTCAAAACTACACACAATCCAATGTGCACTGCCAGAGATCCTATTATGTCCAGCAGACAGTACTGGAACAATGGGGATAGCAAGCACATCTTATTGGTATATAACTCTCGATACAAATCTGGCATCAAGCAATGAAAAGAAAATGTCATGCTGTGTTGGAGGGGGGGCCGTGTTCACTGACATTTCAGAGAAAGGTTTTGCCTACACCTTCAAGTTTGTAGATATGCTAAATAATGGGCCACATGCCTCACAGCACTGCAACGAGTACAACCAAAACACGTGCTGAAACCATTTTCTGGTGGCACTGTTAATTTTATGGTTGGAAAGATTACTGATTGATTCTTTAGTTACTGAACAATACTCTTCATTTACAGAAGTTATGTAATGCCCTTCATAAAGCACGCTGATCAAGTGTGCCTGAGAAAATACTGAGAATATTTGTACCTAAGAGTGGTGAAGTAACAGGAGGAGGGAGAAAATTACATAATGAAGAGCTTCAAATAGGATTAAGTTTATCAAAGTTAGGATGAGGCTGGCAGGTCATACAATACAGACAGGCAGATAAAAATGCATAACAAATTTTAGTTCAAAAATGTGAAGGGACAAGGCCTCTTGGGAAAGCAAAGAATAGATGGGAAGGATAATATTAAAAATGGTTCTTAAAGAAAGAGAGCGTGAAGGTGTGGAATGGACTGAAATGTTTCATAACAGGATCAGATATATTAATTTCAGGGCACACTTCTCAAGAAAAAGTTTGAGTTGAAATGATCTGTTTCACATGGTGTCAAATGAATATTTAATAGTTGTAACAACATGAAGTATGCCTCATTTTACTCTGGTAAAATGTCACGGGACTTCAAGAGTCACAACAGTCAGAGATGGTAGACCTGTGACATCAAACTAACAAAAACTACTACATATGCAAAAATATCCTTAGTTAAAGTACATGATTTAGATAAGTGAATGGAAACGCCTTCAGAATATGGTGACAAATGCACTTACATTTCTGATTTAAAACGAAGCTGGATTATTCACATAATAAGTTTAACATGCTGTCCACTCAGCTATGAGTGGTGTAATAGTTTATTCTGGGGGGCCTCACGTTGGGCACCACTTGTTACATATAATTGTTTTACTTTACTTGGTACTGTTGCGGTCACATAATGAACAGCATTTGTAACAGTTTAATTTGTGCTGCCACTCACTGAGCAACCACTTGTAAGCGTAGACTTTGGTTGCTCTGGTAGAACTGTTTTTATGCTGGGCACTCTTTTTCTTTCATTGGAGAGCATGTGACTCTTTTCAGGATCTTTTGCAGGCCCTGTTCAGGCAGGTGGAAGAACAACTACTTCCACTTAGCATCTACCTCATAAGCTAGTTGCACAAGATTTCATCATTCAATTAATGCATAACTACAAAAAAATTATTATCCAAATTTAATTAAATATAACTGATTAAATATAATATATATGTAAATAAGCAGTAGAAGAATACGAACAGTTACAGGGGCTTTGATCAACCAGAAGTTTTATCTGTTACATTACGCTCTTCTGGGATGTGATACCATGTAATTTTCTAGACAGGAATGGTGTTTTCGAGAGTATAAGGGACTTGAAAAATTATGAAGTACCAGGAGAAGGCAATATCTGTTCTGAATTAACAAAGTACAGAGACACAGCACTGTGGTAGGATATACAAGCATAAACAGAAGTAATATGGATCAGTGAAATTATGCCAGAAGGCACACTGTTATAGTATGCCCACTTCACAAGGGAGCTGATAAACTTGATTGTAGAGACTACAGGGAAATATCATTACTGAATGTAAATTATAATAGTTTAACCAGTTCTTTTAATGATTGGTTTCACACAGTGAAGAGATTTTAGGCAAGAACCAGTGCAGTTTTAGTAGAAGACTTACAACTTAAGATTCTTCATCTAAAATCCAGATCACAATGGAAATATCATGTGCAACAAATGGAAGACAGGTGGATTCTGAAGAAAATTCTAACATACAGTCCAAAAAAGAAGATCAAACACAGGACGCCCACAATTAAGGTGGAGGGACCAGCACAGAACAGATCATGTATGGCCTAATCATTGATGGTGATGGTGGTGGCGGCAGTGGCGGTCGTGGTGGTGGTGGTGCAGATGATGATAATGATGACGGTGATGATGATGAAGATGAAGGCGACAACAACTTATAGCTACTGATAAGCTGTTTGCATGGAGATTGGTAATCCTGAAGGCCTATGAATTTTGTACTGATTTACACTTAACTGCTCACTGATTTTAAGGAACCTTATAAGATGTGATAGTCGTAGAATATCTACACCAAACTTCAAGGGATTTTAAATCCCTGAGAAAGAGGTTACTGTGGCAAAAATTATCCTCAGGGGTTCAAAATGCAAGCTTACAATTCAAGGACAAATGTCAAAAGAATTTTAATGTGAGAAGGAGACTCAGACAGGGGGAACTTAATCTATAATTCTGTTTAATATATATTTGGATAAAGCAATAATAATTGTTGGAATTAACTCTAGTAGGAGCATTTCTAATAAAATGGAACAATGTTCATTATATGCAGATGATATGGGGACACTAAGAAGATTAATGAAAGTGACTGAAGAAGCTCCTGGGGGGAAAATGAAACTGGTGAAGAAATCATGATGGCAATCACTCAAAGCAATCCATGTTATTATGGCTAACAGCATATTTCTGAGTCTAGAACTGCATGCAGAACATCGAAATAATATATACTAACACTGTCAAACAAATTGTGACATATGGAAGTGAAATTGTTCCATGATTGAAAAGGGAAAAGTTATATTAATATGTGGGAAAGGATAACTTTGAGGAACATGTATGAACCAGCAATAACATGTTGGAGAATCAGAGCTAAACAAGAACCAAGGGAACTGTATGAAACTCTTGATCTGGTACCATACACTAAAAGGAGAAGGTTGGAGTGACTTGAACATCAGATCAGAACAGATCAGAATCGATCAAACAAGGGTGGCTATGAAAATTTTTGCAAGTAAGCAAGATAGCAGAAGAAAGGTGAGAAGGTCCAGACTGAGACAGCTGGAAAATAAATGGAAAGATTTAACATAGGTGGAAATAAACTGATGCAGGCAAAAGGCAATAACAGAGAAGAATGGGAATCTGTCATAAAGAAGGTCAAAATTCTTAACACTGGGGCATACAAAGAGGGATAATCTAAAAGAGTATTGGTGAACAGATCCATTTTTAGAAATTCCCATTTTCAGCAAACTAATGAGCCATAAGAGATTTGAACAAATTTGGTGGTGTTTGCACTTCAATAATAATGGACTGCAACCATAATCAACAAGCAGGCTTTTCAAAATTCAGCCCTTATTAAACTTTTTCGCTCAGAAATTTCAGAGAGTTTATAAGCCAAACCAACAACTGTCTTTGGACGAATCTGTGATTACTTGGAGGGGAAGGCTTCGTATGAGAACACATAATCCTGGCCTACTTGTTCGTGTAGTTACTGAAAGCACTTCAGGCTATATTGGAAATTTATAGATTTATTCTGGTGAAGGCAAAAAATTACAAGAAACTATTATTTCCATTTTGGAACCCTATCTTGATCAAAATTACCATGTCTATCAGGACAATTATTATAACAGTGTGGTAACTGCAGAATACCTTCTTTAGAGAAAAGTACGTGTTTGTGGAACAATTAGGGTGAACAGAGGCCTTCCTCCAGATCTGAAAGAGGAATGTAAATCCCTGAAACATGGTGAAACCACATTCAGGGGGAAGGGGGATATTCTTCTTCAGTCCTGGAGGGATATTCGTGTTGTGAATATGATTTCCACAATTCACAATTCTAGCATGGTTGATATTCAGAAAAGACATGGACAAGTAAAGAAGCCTATTTGTATTTCTGAGTATAATATGTTCATGAAGGGAGTTGATAGAGTCGATCAATACTTGGCCTATTATTTTCTTCCTAGGAAAACAATAAAGTGGACGAAGAAAGTTGCCTTGTGGCTTATAAATTGTGCCATTTTCAATACATTTTTGGTTTACAAAAATCTAAACCCTGATTCAAAATTGAAATACAAAGCATTTCTGATGAATGTGGCAAAGGCCTGGACTACAGACCAGATGGTGGCGGCAGAACCAGAGTCAGACACAGACTCCCACCCCACGGAGGCCTCATGCGGACCCCCCTGGGCGACTCTCAGGTCATATGCAGAAACATACCCTTGTGAAAATTGTGAAGAGTGAACATTCCAAGGGGAAGATCCTTCTAGGCAATGCTGTATTTGCACAGTTAATAAAGGGGAATGTTTCCAGAAATATCACACTCTCAAGCACCTCTAGGAGCATTGGTAAGTGTTCTCCAAAAATTTTAGTTCATAAAATTAATTAGGAAATTTTATATTAATTTTTAAAGTGAACAGTGCACAAGTTAGGGTAGTAGGTTTAAAAGTGCTGGTCCGCAGGGTGATTTAAATAATTAAATTGTCAATCTGCAAACTGTTAAGCGTACCATACAGTCAAAGAGCAGTAATAATGCCAAGGCACAATGAATGTGGCATATGGAACATGGTATGATGTCACCATATACTATACTGAAGGTTAGCCTGATGAATGAATATGTGAACTGAAAAGTGCAGAAAATTACATTATTATATAGTTAAGCAGTGTTATATAAAGACCATGCAGATGATGGGAGGGAATGCAGGAAGTAAAAGACAGGGATCTATGAAACCATACTTATGGGCAACAACATTATTTATTTCTGCTTACCTCTTCTCAGCTGTTATATTAAACATAATACCATTACCCTCGTTAAGGTTATAATTTAATTCTGGACACTTACGTTTTCTTTTTTCTTCTTTTTGTCGACAATCTTTTGTAGACGTTTTCTTTGAGTTTTGGACAAAATTTTTTTCACAGTAACTGTATCATTTTTCGTCTTAGTCCTTCTCTTTTCTGACGGGATAACCAACGCATTGCATTCGTCATAACTGTCACGCAGAATAACACTGTCATCTATTTTAATCTGAAGAAAAAAATTAAATTTCTTATTAATGAAACTGTTTCTGCCTTACAAAGCACACTAAATTAGGGTTAGGTACGTTTTCAATAATGGTTCCATTTACCTTGGCAGTTGATGAATTATCTATAGCTGTCTGCCCAACTTGTCTGGATTTCCAATTGAAGCCCTTCCTAGTCTTCCCCATTATAAAACTTATTTCACGTAAAATTTATACGACATACACAGGCAACGTGACAAAACTGCACCGCCACGCCGTAACAACACTGACAACGAGTTTACTAGTTGGCAACATTTACTGCTCAAGCATACATTATGCTGCCATCTCTACGCACGTTTGATGGGTCCAAAGACTGATTGGACAGGCAATAGCGGCCACTGCCAAATGCTCGATCGGTAAAAAATAAGTGCTTGGCAATTCGTCCATGCAACGTGTCCAACTTCTCACCTCTCATCATGGTATGGCACGGCCTGTGGTTGCCGATTAAGAGCAAAGAGTATGATCATCAAAGCCAACAAACTTGGGGCTTGGACGTGGGGCTGTAACGCCTTAAAGTAACAAATAAGTGTGTTAAGAAATGTCACTAAGACCCCCGGCCTATGACCGATTATAGGGAAAATGTGACAAATTGGCAGTGTCTTTTAGCTACTCTAATTGACTACAAGTTTTGTACAACAAGGTCCCATGTGAGGGCAGATTAGAGTACCTCCACTGTAATCCTGCAAGTCAGAGAAGGTGACGAACAGGGAATCTGGAACCTGGGGGTATAACAGTGTTACCTTGTCACCGCAGGACATAAATACTGAGATCTGATCCTTCAGGTTGGGGGTTGGATGCAAGGCTGATGACCTTGCTCTGTATGACATGAAGAATATGTGAAGTTAAGAGATACTAGGTGGTTCAAATATGACCAGGACTGATTTTTTTGTAAACAAGGCGCACTGCACAGCAGCTGTGCGACCTTGAGAGATTGTAGGCACAACCTCCACTCCCTTCTGTTAGGGTTAGAACCTGTTTAGTGCTGTCTGGGCGTTTCCAGAGGGATGAGCGTACAGAAGGTACCGCAGAGCATGGAACAACGCATTGTGATCAAATTCTTCGGAGAAAACGTCCCATCCGCTGAAATTCACCACAGACTCCAATAATAGTATGGGGAAGAGTGTCTCTCATGGACCCATGTGTTTGAGTGGTGTAAGTGCTTCAGAGAGGGCAGAGAGCGCGTGGAGAATGAACCGCATGATCTTTGGCAGCGAACATCCATCACCGAGCCGAACATTGATCGTGCAGACGTGCTTATTCGTGAGACTAGGCGCATCACTATCAAGGAACTTGGAGTAATGCTGTCCATCAGTGTTGGCAGTGTAGAAGACATCATGAAATACCACCAGCACTATTGCAAGGTGAATGCACGGTGGGTACCACACACTTTGACGAACGTGAACAAAATGGTGCACATGCAAGCTGCCAGTTGTCTCCTACAGCAGTTTGAAGATGAAGGTGATGCATTTTTGAAGTCTCTAGTGACCACTGATGAAACGTGGGTGCACTACTTCATTCCTAAGTTCCAGCAGTCATCACGCGAGTGGCGGCATACCAGTTCTCCCAAACCCAAGAGAGCGGAGGAGCCATTCGGCAGGAAAAGTGATGGCAACGTTCTTCTGGG